TTCCTTTCCTTTCCTTTCCTTTCCTTTCCTTTCACATCGCAACCCTTTCCTTTCCTTTCCTTTCCTTTCACATCGCAACCCTTTCCCCTACTATTTCTGCTCCTGTCCTAACCTCTCTAGTCTGTCCATGTCAACATCATAGTCATATCTTTTCCAGGGTGCAATCTTGTATTCCGTACAATATCCACCACACCATCACGGGTCGTCATCACCAACACTGGGCTCAAGCTCACTCCACATGATAATGATCCCGACAAGATGTCTGAATGGAGAGATGTACCACCTGGATCTGAAATACCCTTTGAATTCAGCAGCCGTGAGAAAATGAGACACAAGGCGAGTTGAATATTAGTCGTGGTATTTTCCTTTATCTTGTTTCATTTGCTTACTTTCTAACGGACTATTGTTGCTCTAGTTGTATCTATTGCTGCTGTTGTTGTTGTTGCTGCTGCTGCTGCTTCTGTGGTTATTGTCATTATTACTGCTTTTATTGTTGTTGCTGCTGCTGTTAAAACTGTTGTTGCTTCTGCTGTTGTTGTTTTTGCTGTTACTGCTGCTTCTGTTGCTACTACTGTTGCTGATACTGTCGCTGCTGCTGTTGCTGTTGCTACTGTTGTTGTTGCTGCTACTGTTGTTGTTTTTGTTGCTGCTGCTGTTGTTGCTGCTGCTGTTGTTGTTGCTGCTGCTGTTGCTGTTGTTACTATACTGTTGTTTTTGTTGTTTTTTTTTTTGCTGCTGCTGCTATCGTTGCTGCTGCTTCTGTTGCTGTTGTAGTTGTATTTATTTATTTGGTTTAATCGGTTTTTCAGGATACTCATGACTTCATAGTCCATCAGATCGTGGTCCAAGCAGAAGGTTGGACACAAGTCTCCCCAGTCTCCGTCGACTGTGTTGGGACATTCTTTAGACATGCACAGCCTGATGGCAAAGCTGTCAGTTCAGTGGTACGTCATGATTTGCGTTTTGAACTTAATTCAAGACTAAACAGTGTTATACAAAAATGCTTTGCCGAAAGTACTGCTGTTTTTTGTTTTTTTTCATTAGCAAATCATCCTTATAGACCCCTTGCACTAGAGCAATTGTTCTGGGGGACAAAACAATGGATTTTTTTTGCATGAGAAAAGACGACCTTTTGTTTTTTTCCCCAGAACAATTCCTCTAGGAATTCAATGCAAGGGGTCTATAACTGAAATACAGTAAGCAAAGTGTCCGTAATATCGGGGTGTCCGCAAGGCGAGAGTTGACTGTATATCGTTTTGTACACTTTTAGGTTATTTCACTCCAGAACACTTGTCTTAAAGGGGCACTTGGATGAAAATGGATAAAAATTGGAAATGACTTTAAACTTAGTTAAGCGTACCTATATGGCCCCAACAGTAGCCAAGCAACATTATCAGTTTTATTCAGCATCTAAACCCTATTGTTCTTTCTGCTTTTGAACCAAAATATCTCAATAGCAAGTGGCTCCCAGGCTAAAATGTTCACTAATCTGGTTTACATAATCATAATTGAGTCATATTATCCTCATATACTTCAATTATTCGGACTTTCAAAAATTGGGGCGTTTTCATCCAAGTGCCCCTTTAAGTAGACCGTTTTCTCAAGGTTGAAAGACGCAGATTCAGTAAAATAGAGAAGCCAGTTTTATATTTAAAAGATGGGATTAATCGATTTTATGAATTCTTATCGAAAAATTTCATAGAAATATATGATAATTCTCATTATAAAGCTTCTATTCTGGTATCGTGGCCCGTCAAGTTCCTTTTAAAAAAAACGGTCTATTACACTGCAAAATGTAACGCATTCTTGAATTTTCGTTATCTCATTTGCATATTGATATTTCAAATGTTTATATCTCAGAAAAGAGAAGACCACATACGGAAATACTGCAACCATACTGCTACACTGTTCCCATATAAGTGATTTTTTAAATATTTTTTCCACTGATGTACACTTTAAGTCCACTGTTCTCTTCCTTAGGCTAGTGACGTTCAGCCAGTTCGTATCGTATTTAAAGTCACTTTAGAAGGCGGCGCCCGTAAAGTCGTTACCGTCCAATCAGCTTTGAGTATAACTAACAAAATGGACATTCCGTTGGAAATCAAACTACAAGGTCATACTTCATTCCAAGGTAAATACCATTTTTAGAACTCGTCCAATGGCCAGTGTGCACGAGCACGAATCTCTAGCACAAAGCATGATGGGAAACCGAGTACTACACAAATTAGAACAAGGAAATCAATGAAATTATCAGAAAAAATAACTCTGTTATTGTCATCTGTTGAAATACTTACAGTTTCATAGAAAATGTCGAAGGAAAAATTGTCGAATGAGTTTTTAGAGGAGCTAAAAAAGTACTAGGTTTACCATCGTGCTTTGTGCTAGAGATTCGTGCTCGTGCACCGATTGGCTATTCAGCTATTTTAGAAAAAAGTTGGTTGAGATGTTGTTGCATGTCCCATGCCAAGCCCGAAATGAATAAATAAATGAATAAAATCTGTAATTAAGTAATTTGAAATAGCTGTATATTCATCAAACGTTTTGTTGTAGTCTTTGCCTTAAATTGGTAAATACCGCTGGGATTTTTGACTGCAGACTCATCTGTACTGTCTTAGCCTCGTTTAACAGCGAATAAGTTGCTATCAATAGACGTCACTTCCTGTAATAGCTCTTTTTTGATRGCTTGTAGAATCCTGGAGGTTGTTTTGATCTCTTGTTTTCTGGTTTGATATCGTGAAAATAGTCAAACACAATAGTTTGAGGACTTATTTTGATATGTTTTGACTTAGCATCCGCTAGCTGCCCCCCAGTCAACCGCTTGTTTGCCCCCCAGTCAACTCCAAAAAGTCACGTGATTGATAACTTATAAACGTGATTAAACTCGTATAAGTGAGGCTGTTGTCATCAAAAACAGCGATATAGAGGTTTTGCACCATCACGTGCCCGCACCCATTATACAGCTTGGACTGCCTGTGGTTAGATGGCAGAACAATAAAATCCCTCTGCTCTTGGGAATTGAATTTATTCTAATGTAAAACGATTGTATTGTTTCTGCCATCTAACATGGCTGCCGTCACGTGGTGGTGCAAAACCCCTATTGCTGGTTTTCACTTGACATCATTTCCTGTCTCGTGTCTCGTGTGGTATGTTCATCAGCTGAATCACAAGTTTTCAGTAGAATTCTTTCTGGCTGACAGCACATGGTGGTCAGTGTTTGACCACCATTTGGAGCAGATAATGAGATTGAAAGACTTTTATCAGAAGAGTGAAACCCAGCAATACAGCTATTTCAAGAACGATTGGTAAAAGCTTTGTTGCAAGTTGCATTCCAATCCCGAACTGCGCTATGGGTAATATKAATGCCACCAGCGAAATGTTACAACGATATAGAAATTTTCTAAACTTTGGCTTCACGTCATTCCGTAATAATTTCTTTCGTAATGACATTATTTACATATGAATATAGTGATTTTCATAAACCCG